CAGCCCCGGACGCGCTGGGAGTCCGCCCGGACGCGCCAGCCCTGCTGGGGCGCGACGATGGAGGAGCCGCAGCGCGTCCGTTCGCACACCGTCACCACCACCGCCAGCTCGTTCGCCGAGAACTTCTCCACCAGCAGCAGCAGCTTCGCCTACGACCGGGAGTTCCTCCGCACCCTACCCGGGCTCCTCATAGTGGCCGAGATCGTGAGTGCCCATCTGGCCGGGGTTGGGGCAGCGGGGGGCGCGGATGAACCCTGCGCGATGGATCTTGCTCACATCCTCCAGCGGGCTTCGGGACCCCTTTTTGCTCAGCCTCACCTTCTTCCCAGAGTGCACAATTCAGGGACCCCCCTCTCCAGACGAAGTCCGGTCAACTCGGGCTCTCTTGGGGAGAGAGGGTCGTGACGCTCACGATGTCTGTTGAGGGAGAACTCTAGCTTGCTGGGTCCTCTGGGTGGTGGTGGCCTGGGCACAGAGTTTGAGTGTCAGGGACACCTGCTGCCTCTCACCTGATCTCCATGTGGATGGCCTCCTCCCTGAAAGCATAGATTTCCTAAGATCAGGGGGAGAAGGGAGGGCTTCCTGTTTTTCCCAGCTATCTCCCTGGTAATAAAATTGAGATGAATCCAGAAAAATCCACTGAATAAAATCTGAGGGCCTTAACCTCTCTGAGGACTAAAGGGTTTCCTGCTTGGTGCCATGCACATCCTGGTTTAGGCTCAGAACATTCCTGGGAAGGAGGCAGGGCATGTGCATTTTCCTCTCCACTGGAGGACATGGAGGCTGAGAACTCAAGTGATCTGCTGGAGGTCCCAGCCAGTCCTGCTAACAGCTAGTGGTGGTCACTGTTTGTTGAGTCTTCACCATGTGCCAGGGTCTTGTCAAGCCCTTTAGATGTCTTCATGCCCTCGTGTAATCCACACAACAACCCTACCCAGTGAGGGTGGCTTCATTTATTATCTCCATTTTACATTTGAAGAAACTGAGGTCTATGGATGATGGAGCTGGGATTCAAACTCAGGGCCTGCCTTTCTCCCAGGTCCTGCTCTTAACTGCTAAGGGACATCCCTTCCAGCTATCTAAGCAGTGCCCCTTCTGCTGTTATCTTACAGACTTTTGTCTAACCATTTGTGTAATTGAAATCTAGATTATGTGGAGCTAGAAATGGGAGCCATCATGGTACAGAAATGACTGAAGACTTGGACAGTTCTTTTGAGAAGCCTTCAGCAAAACCCGTGGACATCAAGTAGCTTACTTTCTCCTCTAGAGTCTCCGATCCTACCCAGACTAACTGAATCAATTCCCAGGGCATTCCAGTGGCATACAGTTTGAGAAGTGTTGGCTTAGCTGGTCTTCCAGCTAGTTCTCTCAGCTGATGCTGAGGACTTCAGGAGACCTAATAAAAAGCTGAAGGTGGTAGAATCACCATGCAGGGCCTGGCTTTTAGGAGTTCCGCAGATATTTGCTGTGTGCCTGAAGGAGTTGACAGACTCTCCTGCTGCAGCAGAGCAAACAGAAGCTAAAATGACAGGGATGGGGCTTCAACCCTACAGGCATGAAGTAAAATGCCTCTTGTTTTCTGATTTATGATCAATATGTCCCATACTTTTTCAAAAAATATAAAAGTGAAGGAAGAAACGTAAATGGCCCACAGTTCCATCATTAGAAATAATCACTGTTGACATGTTGGCATGTATCCTTTCAGATGTTAATAAGTTTTTTGAAAAAGATGGAAAAACGTGGAAGCAAAATCACCCTTATTACTACATTAGCTGAGTTTTCATTTTTGACGCCAATAATGCACATGTTTTTGGATCAGTCCTATGGGAGAAATATGTTCCCTCCACCATCTTCATCTCTTAGAGCTCTAAGTGACTTGTTTATAATGCTACTTCCCCCTCCTCCCCCCATTACAGATGTTACCCGTTGCCTTCCCACTCTGAAAGATGAGGCTTTAGCTCGTTTGAACCTCTTCCCCGCTTCCGGTTGCACGTGTGCCCTTCCCATCTCCCAGTGTAGTCAGCAGTTGATTTGGGTTAGATCCACAGTCAGTGCTGACCTATGGTGCCGTAACACTGTCTAACTGAGCCACTGAGTAGTCTGAGTGCTCTCCTTTCCTGCCCAATTTCTTGTTTTCCCTGGTATTTAGTCACTAATTTAACCCTAGTTGTCTAAGTCTCCTCCGAGGGAGCTGAGAGACATCGGGTATTCTATTAGGGTCATCCTCGTGACCAACCTCTGGGAGCCTCTGACCTGTTCCCAGCTGGCCTGGCTGCCTGTGTATCACCCTGAAGATTCTCTTTACTTCTCTCCTGGGTTGGATCCCCTGCTTGCCATGTCCAGTGTCCTTCTCCTACTCCCACCCGTGGAACACACAGCCTCTTTCCTAAGAAAGGATGCAAATGGAAATTGAGATTTGCATCTTTCAAAATGTCTTAATTCCACTCTTACATGTTATCAATAGTTTGACTAGGTAAAGAATGTTAGACTGGAAATTGTTTTTCTTCAGAATTTTGAAAATATTCCTCTATTGTCCTCTAGTTATTCTGATTTTTTTTTTATTCCAATTTTTAACCCCTCCCCTCCTTTCTGGAAACCTGTAGAATCTTCTTTTTCCCCAGAAATCTGAAATATCACAACGATGTGCCTTAATATGAGTGTGTTTTCCTCCATTGTACTGGGGACCTGGTATGTTCTCTCAAATAAGGAAAACTCATTTAAGTTTAAGGAGATTTCTTTAAAATTTGATTTTTCTCTTTCCATTTTCTCAGTTCTTTCTGAAACTCCTTTTACACTTTTTCCTCTATGCATATATTTTCTTGTGATTTTTCTTACATATTTGTGACCTGCTGTTTGCACTTACTATGCCATAAACTTTTTCAGGGTCTGGATCTTTCGCATTATTAGAGTTTTTTGTGACAAGGAAGAACCATACTTGATTTCCTCAGTCTTCTATTTTAAGACTAACATGTTTCTGGGTTTTACTAGTACATATCCAGTGCTGTAGCAATCTTCCTTCTTTGTCTATCTTTCCACATTTGTCCAATGATTTTCTTATGGAAAAATTCCTTAAAGTAGAGTTGTTGGGCCACAGGGCATACAAATTGAAGGGTTTTGTGACATATGAGGGTACTTCAAAAAGTTTGTGGAAAAATAGAATTAAAAGATAACACAAATTTTTCCATAAACTTTTTGAAAACCCCCTCTTAATTCTGATGTTATCTTTCCCTTGAGTTCTACTGGTTTAAACTGCCATCACTATGAGCCTATGAAACTAAAAACACTTTTTTAAATTGGAGGAACTCTTAAAATCCAGAATGCTAAGGATCACCTCAAATGACATCCTATATTTTATTGACTTTAAGATACTTTTGTGTTCATGTTTTTATATTGAATCAGGATACAGCTTATAATAGGTGGTTTCTTGGATGTCATGGAATGTGACACCACTGATTAGTTTTCTGGGGATGGAGGATATGTGTGTTCCAAACTATTGCTGTCCCATTCCTGAGATGAAGATATACCTGACCCCAAAAAAATGCTACTTTCTGCCTTGTAAAAACAAAATACTGAGACAAAGAATTACTAAGATGACTTCCTGCTCGAACCTGGGGAAATGAAATAATACAGAGAATAAAACACAATGTTTTCCCAAGTCACGTGTCAAAATTGGCTTGCTCTGGCTTTCTCACAGGGGTGAGTGGTAGTAGCTATACCAACTAAAACACTCAAGGTTGTGCCAGTATAACATCATGTTGAAACTAAATCATGCTAGTTTCCTTCCTTTTAAAGTTTTATAACAAGATAGAAGCAATCCTGTACTTGACCTGTGAATTGTAGGATGCTGTGATCTCATAACTGTTACAAGTACCTGAAGAATAAAAGTGATTTGTAAGAAGCTGAGTTAATTGCACCCTTCCTCTTATTGGTGACTTCAAAATTAATTATAGCATCCATGTAATCATGTTAGGTCATCTTTTATTTACCTTCTGTCGTGAGTAAACTTAGTTGGGGAAGGACAAATGGGTTTATTGAGAGCTGGAATCTAAATTATTCTACCCTGTGGAGTTCCTTTAAAAAAAGTGAACGTAGTTTCCATTTCACAACAGCAATATCTAGCCTTTATAGAAAAATTAGAAAAATGCAGGTAAGAAAAAGGAAAGAAAAACAAATTCTAGTCCCCACAGTGGTTCTTCAGAGGTGTGGTACCACCCCATGTCTGGAAGTGTTTAAGCTTTTTAAGTTGTTTTGGTTATTGTAATGCCTGGCGTTTCTACCGGTGCTCAGTGCCATGGGGGCCAGGGATGCTAAGTGTCCTGAAATGCATGGGACGGTGCACAACAACGAAGAATAGCTTCACCAGTTGCCAGTAGCATCACTGCTGAGGAACTCTGAGCTAACCACTATTTATCCCTTGCAGGAAATTATTCCAAAATTTCTTAAGTGGTTGTATATTTATTCGTAATTTAAACAAAACAAAACAAAACAAAACAGCTCCTTGCAAACTACTCTTTTTGTTTGCTGCTATGACTATCTGTGCTGGATATCTTCCATTAGTCCCTCAGATTGGCTTTCTACCTTGCTCCTGCATGGACTGCCCCTAGGGCTCCCCTGCCCTCTGATGTCCCACTGTCTTCATCCAATGGCAGCACCAGCAGGAGGCTGTGGGGTGAGAGGAGAACAGTTCTGGGTATTCATTCCCCACACTTCCTCCCTGCTGAGACTCAGGGAGTCCTTCTCTGGACTTCCGTGTGTCCTTCCCTGAACAGGCTGTCTGGCAGTCCTCTTCCCCCTGCTATTTTCTCTGCCTCTGGTAACTGTCCACTCCCTCTGCTTTCTTTTGTCAGGCCCTGCACTATCGCTTGTGGTTTTCCCGCACCCTGCTTTATAAATAACACCTTTGTTAAACTTGACTCAGATTACCCAATCTGAATGTGCCTGGTTTTCTGCTGTGACCTGATATATTACCTTTCCTCATCAATGATTAATTCCTTATGACATTCTTAGTGGCCACATAGTATTCCATTAATAGCTGTACTCCTACTGTTCATGTATATTTCCTTCTTTTAACAATGTTGTGACAAACATCCTTTAAGCTAAATCTTTCTGGATGTTCTGTAATGTTTTCTAAGGATGAGTACTTAGAATTAATAAGAGGGTATATGAATCTTCTTTAAAACTAAGCTTATTAAGGTATACAGTAA